TCACCGGGAGACGGTGAGTTCTAGTCCCGCCTTAGGCATGAAAGCCAATTGGATGGTTTTGTGCCAATCACCAGGAGACGGTGAGTTCTAGTCCCGCCTTAGGCATGAAAGCCAGTTGGATGGTTTTCTGCCAATCACCAGGAGACAGTGAGTTCTAGTTCCGCCTTAGGCATGAAAGCCAGTTGGATGGTTTTCTGCCAATCACCAGGAGACGGTGAGTTCTAGTCCCGCCTTGGGCATGAAAGCCAATTGGATGGTTTTGTGCCAGTCACCAGGAGACGGTGAATTCTAGTCCCACCTTGGGCATGAAAGCCAATTGGATGGTTTTGTGCCAATCACCAGGAGACAGTGAGTTCTAGTCCCACCTTGGGCATGAAAGCCAATTGGATGGTTTTGTGCCAATCACCAGGAGACAGTGAGTTCTAGTCCCGCCTTGGGCATGAAAGCCAGTTGGATGGTTTTCTGCCAATCACCAGGAGACGGTGAATTCTAGTCCCGCCTTGGGCATGAAAGCCAATTGGATGGTTTTGTGCCAATCACCAGGAGACAGTGAGTTCTAGTCCCACCTTGGGCATGAAAGCCAATTGGATGGTTTTGTGCCAATCACCAGGAGACGGTGAGTTCTAGTCCCGCCTTGGGCATGAAAGCCAGTTGGATGGTTTTCTGCCAATCACCAGGAGACGGTGAGTTCTAGTCCTGCCTTGGGCATGAAAGCCAGTTGGATGGTTTTGTGCCAGTCACCAGGAGACGGTGAATTCTAGTCCCGCCTTGGGCATGAAAGCCAACAGCCCACCTGACGGTGGTTGTGGGCAAAATAGGAGGAAAGCAGCATTATTAGGAACGTTCATCACCTTGAATAATAATAAAGGCAGTATTTTAAATAATAAAGGCAGGATTTTTTTTAAAAAAAAATGCTAACGAATAAAATAAATGAATGAAACTTGCTTGTAAGATGATTGTTTGTATGTGTTGATTCTGGAGCCAGTTCCTAACCTGACCCTTTTTTCCTTTTTTATATATGAATATGAAATTCTTTCCATGCTGAAATAGCCAGCACCAAGGAGGGGAGAATGGAGCTCCGTTTTCTCTCTGGACGCAACCCCGGACTGTTTGAACGAATCAGCGCTTTCTTGTAGCCCAGGATCTCCCCCGCAGGCCTCATGGCTGAAGAAATCCCCTTGTAATAAATGTTTGAAAAGCTTCCCCTTTGCCATGTGCTCTTTGTACGCTCTTCCCTAGGACTTTATTGGCAGTGAAAGAAATTAACCTTCTAAAACCAGGCAAAATCCCAGAGATACCAATAAAAATAGAGATTAGGTACTGACTAACGGTCTACTTGGGTGAAAAAAAATGCAATTCCACTGTATTACACCAGATGGTATAAAGATAAGATAAATTTATTGTCATTGTGCTCAGGAACCTGAGAACAACGAAATAAGGTGCTCTTTCGCAACATACAACTAAACAACACCAAAAGATGTATACAAATAACAATATAAAACAAATTAAAACAAATAACAATTTAAAAAACTGTACAACCAGGATATATGTGTTAAGACCACCAGATTCATAACTCTGCATTTAACCTGATCACAGCACTTGGGTAAAAGCTATGTTGAAAGATGATGGCTCTCTCAGGCTTTGGGCTAATTAATTTCAAGTCTAGATGCTCATATGTAATATTTAATATATTTTATATTATATGTAATATTTAATATTGGAGAGTTGAGTTTTCCTTCCTGGTGTTTCTTCTTCTTGGTTTTGGATTGCAGGCTTGCTGATTGGTCACTGAACAGAGTGGATTTTTGAGTAAATAATGGAATAAAACACCCATTATTCAATTTACAACATGCTGCACGAAAACAAAACCTGCTCACATCTGTTATTATCCAATACGTCGCATTAGTTCCTGGAGATCCATCATAGAGATGCTAAGAGGCAGAGCGGCTCTGCATTGATAAGAACGGGAGTGGTCAAAAGGCAAGACGTGCGCTCACCGGAAGTGAGTGGCTCTTAGGTCCCTCCCCATTCCCATCCACCTAACCAATGAGGTTGCAGTCTATACTGAGGGGAGTTAGAGGAAACCGTGGGCGGCTCCCTGCTGATTGGTGGCCGCCAATGAAAAGACGGCGTTGGCTTCCCCCCCCCGTCCCCTTCAATCGCGCGCGACGGACGGCACTCGCGCCTGCGCAGACTGAAATTTTATTTTTATTTTTTAAAACCCTTCCTCACCTTCCTCCCCGCCCCCCAAACTTCTTTAACTGCCGGTTTACCTATGTCGCCCTTTCCGTAACTGGAGTCCGACGCGAGAACGGAGGGAAATGTCGTCGGGGGTCCGCGAGGTGGTGACGCTCCAGCTGGGCCACTACGCGGGAAGCGTGGGCGCTCACTGGTGGGGCCTTCAGGTAGGCCGAAGGGGGAGGGGGGGCGGAGGGAAAAGCGCGGGGCGGAACGCGCATGCGCCGGCAGGGCCCCGGGAGAACCTCGGTTGATGACGTCATTCCAGGGGAAAGGCGCGATTGGACCGGAGCCCGCAGGGTGGGCGGGGCTTGTCTATTTCCCACGTTAAAACTATCAGCAGATGTGCACGTGGGAGGCTGGTGTTTACACTCACACGTGCTTGCACGCCCGCGTGCATATTTGCACCCGCGCGTGCATGAAAATCTATCTCCCGTCAATTCATTTAAAGTTGCATGCATGGCTTTGTTTTTTTTCCCCCCCAGCCCACCACGCTTTTATCCCCATAACGGCCCTGCAAGGTAGGCCACCCTGGGCTGGGCCAGGATAATCAAGGGCTGCAAACGTCCAGGTGGCTTCTGCAAAGGCTTCCTTCCTGCCTGCCTTGTCTTTTTTCCTTTTTTGCAGATCCTGGTGGATTTTTGCAATCCGATTGCCCAATTTTTCGGGGGGGGGGGGGGGGGGTGGACTAGATGACCTTCAAGGACCCTTCCAACTCTTGTAAAAAAAAAAAACTCCATCCCAGCATCCTAGGCTGGTGGGATGGAGAGGGGGGTGTAGTGGCATATACAGGTATTCCTCAACTTAAAGGACCACGGTTGAACCCCAAAATTTCTGTGGCTAAACGAGACCGTCGTTTAAAAGTGAATTTCGCCCCGTTTTACGACCTTACTGGCCACACTTGTTCGGGGAAATCCCTGCAGTTGTTCAGTGAATCGGGCTTCCTTGTTGACTTGACTTGTCAGAAGGGATCGCAGGACGCCAAGAGAGACTGCAGGCCTTATCAATTCTTCCTTCTTTCCTCCCTTCTCTGTCACTTGAGACTTTCAAGAAGAGATTGAACTCCCATCTGTCAGAAATGGTGTAGTAGGATCTCCTGCTTGGGCAGGGGGTTGGACTAGATGACCTACAAGATCCCTTCCGACTCTGACGATCTGTTATCTATGACCTTTTCATTTCTGCCTTCCAGGAAGCGCTGTTCTCCTCCAATTCCCTGGCTTCCGACTTAGACGAAGCGATTCAGCACGATGTGCTGTTCCGAACGGGGAGGACGATGCAGGGACGCGAGACGTTTACCCCCCGCCTCATCCTGATGGACCTCAAAGGTGAGGGCTCAGCCTTGTCAATTCTGTTTGAGAAGCACACAACGCCCGCCGTGCGGGAGATGGGAAGGTGGTCAAATTGGCTCGCTTAAGGACTGCCTCTCGCTTAATGCCGTCAATTTTGCTCACAGTTAAGTTGCAGCCCCATGTGCCTCTCGATGTCTTCTCAGCCCAGAAGGCTCTCTAAAATTATAAACCTGTTTTTATTTCTGGGCAGAAAGTCTCGCCACTTTGAAACAGGAGGGATACCTGTATGAGGACCCCCAAAAAAACATCCCCATAGCTTGGTGAGTGGATTTTTTTTTTTTTTAACCAAGGGCCGTTAGTTGCTTTCTTTGTTATTTATTTATTGCTTACATTTATTTCCCGCCAACCTCACTCTACAATCATAAAAATATTTGGAACACAAAACTGAATTTTGCTGTATAATTGAACTGGGCTATATTTGTTACTTGTTTTCTTTGTCCTTTTTTTTTTTTGTATGCTTGTTTTTATTATTGTTATTTTATTCATTAAACATGAAACTATGTCAACTGAACATTTAAAAATGTATCATAATTAGTATTGACTGACACTGATGGTTGATACGGATTGCTCCCAGCATCCTAGGTATAAATCAAGTATCTTCTTAAAATGTATGATGTTCTGAGTAGCGCAGTTTTCATCATCATTATTATCTTATTCATTAAACATGAAACTCAGTATTATTATTATTATTTATTGTTGTTGTTGTTATTATTCATTAAACATGAAACTCAGTATTATCATCTTATTCATTAAATATGAAACTCAGTATATTATTATCTATTATTCATTAAGCATGAAACTCAGTATTATCATTATTATTATCTATTCATTAAACATGAAACTCGGTATATTACTATTATTATCTCCTATTTATTAAACATGGAACTCAGTATTATCTTATTCATTAAACATGGAACAGTATTATCTTATTATCTCTTATTCATTAAACATGGAACTCAGTATTATTATTATCTTATTCATTAAACATGGAACAGTATTATCTTATTATGTCTTATTCATTAAACATGGAACTCAGTATTATTATCTTATTCATTAAACATGGAACAAAGTATAATCTTATTATCTCTTATTTGTTAAACATGGAACTCATTGTTGCTGGATGTTTGCAAGTTAGTTTCCTTTGCTTTGTGTATTTTAAATTTGAAATAAATGAATTTAACTTTGAAATAAAAAATGAAAATCATTAAAACAAGCATGAAAAAAACCAGCTTGAGTTTCGCAGGGCGTGTGGCTTGCCGAACCAAGATGAATGTGGGTTGTTAAGCAAGGCTTAATTAAAAACAGAAGCCACTGACATTTCTCGATTTGAAAACTCTCTCTTGGGTTAAGTAGGGTTTGCTAGGCCTGGTACCCTGGCAGTCTTTGTGGGAAAGGAGAGCTCCTTTTCATAAATCGTCCTCATTTTATAACCATCGTAGTCATATAATCCTTTGTGAATTTCCCAGCCAGTTTCCAACAAGCCAAACCAATGCAAAAGCCCGATTTGCTTAACAAAGACTGCACGATTCATTTGACGACTGCTGCGTCGGCTTGACAAACTTGAGGCAAAGGAGGGTGTTAAAACCAGGCTTGGCTCATTTAACGACCGTTTCCCGTAGCAACGGAAAGTCTAGTCCCGATGGTGGTTGTAAGCCGAGCACAATCTGTATTTCCTGTCCCGGTTCATACGAACGGATCTTCTCCTTCCAGGAGGGGGAACCTCACAACGCACCAGCAAGACCCAGTGCCTCCCAGTCCC